CTTATAAAATTACCTCTAGTATTAAAGCATAACTGATACATTGTCAATCGGGTTCTGATCTAGTAAACTTTTCAAACCAAATGTGTTGAGGACAAAAAAAAATTATATTTTCAATTCAATTCGTATCGTAACGTTCTCCATATTGTCACAATCGATTTCTGACTGGCGTAATGTAAGGCATATCACGCAAGTGACATATACGTAAAATTTCACATCAGCGAACTAATTGATAAATTTATATCCGAAGAAAAACTAAATATAAACGTTTTAGATTCTGTAGTCAAAGTGCCAAGAAAATGCAGCATTCTAGTTAATATGCCTCAGTTTAATTTCTTTATTTTGTAGATTTCAGACCAGGTCAGAGAAGTGATTATTCTGCATACAAAGTGCGGATTGCAGACATGTACATGGCGTTAATATATGTGGACACAGAGTCTTATAATGATCTGCCTTCCATGCGAAGTCATGAACTCCTATAGGTCAATATAAGGCAAACATTATAACGCCTGTCCAACAAAACCTGACATGAATATTCAAACGTGACAACCCATAAACAACGATTCCAACATGTGAATTATAAACAGAGTCAAGCTTCATCCGGAAACCATTCAAATTAGTGACAACCTCAACATGTACAGCATTTATCAATATTTTAACATACATTGTGTATGGTAGACTATTTAATACCTACTTGTTACCTGCTTTCACCTTTGATAAAACATAGTTCATCTTGTGCTTTTCCCAATTGTTTTCGTGTAAATATTAACTCGACATTTTGCATTAATTTCATTGTTTTGAACATTGGAATTTTGTTATAGTTTATGTGTTGCTTCTTTACTTGGTAAAATGTATGGCAGACCAATGGAAAAGAATTTTAGTGTCTTGTATCTTAGCGTTTAGTTGACGAAGTTGACCCAATCAAACTATATTTACAAAAATCTTTTGAATTTTTATGACGAAGCTGTCATGGAGTAACTCCTGTGATAATTTCTGACCATGAAAGGCCCACCATATACCCTTAAGATCGGTGCATAAATCTCAATTACGTGTCGAGGTCTGACTTTTTGTCATTGAAAGAATAATTGGACCCAATTTCTGGAGATAGGAAGAGGCGGTATATAAAAGACGCATCTTAAGTTGTGTAGGCTACTTCGAGATATGTCTACCAATAATGAGGCAGACATGGGTTTCACGTGTAATGATATTACTAAGAGACTGCGCTGCAGTCATGGATATCGAATATTGACAGTTACAGTAAAAACGGTACTTACCTATTCATGATATCTACTTTAGAGCAGTAAATATATGTGCTCAAGAGTATGGACAGAAGCTTGGATGATTTATTGAATTTAGATAAGGTATAAATAATGTTGTCAGATCGTAGAAACATCATGTAGAATAATGCCTGTTGTGTGTACAGGATGGCCCTAATTGTGGACGATTTGCATTTCATTGAGCACTGGCCTTCCTACCCTGGAGTAATGTATACATGCGGGAAGAAACTGCCCTGCAAAAGGAGCTAAGTGACGACAGTGAAGCCGAGAACATGAAAACGTTTATTCGTGCAACCGTAAGCATTAACGGGACTGTAATGAAATAGAGAAAATGTATCTTACATGTTAGAGTTTTGATGTCATGTGAATATGTACTAGATCAACACTGAGCTGAGAATACTTCTAGTTATCAATGATTATTTAAGTACCACAAAATATGAGCTATTGTGTTAATTATCTAAGAGAGTGTATAAGGCTCTCATCACTGCATGTTATATTCGGTGAAAGTATTCAGTAATGATCTTAACCAATTGAAATCTAGAATTCATGAACACACTCATTTTCAACTATTTATACATTTTTTTTAAATGTGACTTTGTTATGCAAAACATTAAATCATCGAAATGTCATATATTGTGGGCTGGATGCCTTGAATACTGAATAAAGTATTGAATTGAATTTATTTTATCATGGATTTCCCTATTGGAATAGCAAATGATATTCTGAACTCCGAAGTCGGAATATTAAAGAAACCTATACTTGATACAGCATAACAGGTACATTTCTCTCATATCCCGCCATATTGGATAGAGTTTGACCATGTAAGATAGCTATGTAAGAAAATTCTATCTTACATGGGCAAACACGTGCGCGGAGTAATCTGTGTTCAGGGGAGACAACTCTTACAACGTCCGAAAATCCTTTGTACAAAAAATGACCGACAACCATGTACCCGATACTTGCAGGTTTATGTCACGGGTCATAAAAACACACAGTCGCTGAATAATTACAGGACACTGAATAACAGACAGAAGTACATGATTTCCAATATGTTGTCAAACACAAAAAGCTCCGAGTTAATTCCATCAAACCGAACACCATCCTCTGCCACCATTTCATCAACTTCAACAGTTACTAGGCCTACATCTGATGTCACAGTGTGTTTACCATCGTCACCACAACAAGAAAACACGGTTAACACCTACAATCCTGTATCACAGAAACAATCTGAAACTCGCATCGAATCCTTGTTTGCTGGTTCTCACATTGAAAATTGCCAAATCACCGTCGTCGAATCATGGTGATCGAGAGCGACAGCGACTCGGAATAGGAGATCGTGTGACGTCAAGCCTTGAATTTATGAATGGAATTCATTTGACTATGGTGACGTCATGACACCGTCACAGTATTTTGAAAAAATGTTAAAACAGTAAAAAGATACATTGATATATTTCTTAAAATGATCAAATATGTGATTTTGATGATAAAACTATATGTTGAATTATAAAAATCCGTTCCTTGTTGATTTCTGTGAAGTATTTGACGGAACAATTTCTTTTCGCGGATGTTTACTTAAACATACTATATAATCACACAGAGATCATTTTTGGTTTTTTTCATCTGCGAATGATATATTCATCCTGTAATATACCGAAAAATGGTTTGAAATTTGACAGCAAACTGAAAGTTTCCAAAATATGGGTATGATCGTTAAGAATATCCAGTTCGTTTTTTTAAAAAAAACCTCTGATTAAAAAAATGAAAAAAATGAAGATAATGGCCGACCGACTGTCCTTTTCCAAAAATGTTGGTAAAGATATGAGAGAAAAGACTCTTTCATTATGTGTGTATGTAGGATAGGGATATTCCATCCGCGGTGTTACAAACTATGGTAGCCTCGGGTTTTACCATATTTTGTAACCCCGAGGGTGGAATATCTCTATTCTACATACACGCATATGAAAGAGTCTTATATTCTTCGCTTTTGTTCATGACAAGGGCAGTATTCCGATCTTAAATCGTAAACTGTCACACCCAGTAAAAGAATATTATTTCAGATTTGAAAAATCGAATTACGACATGGATCTTGTGAAGTATGGGAATCCAGTATCAATCAGTGATGTCCGTATATTTATCAGTAATAGGCAATCTAAATGGTTGTGATGTGAATGCATGAAGAGCTAGCATTTCTTCGGAAATATTCAGTAAAGAGTAGGCAGGGTTTCCTTCGTTGTCTAGCAAGTCTAGTTGCTTTTGACATAAAATAATCCATAGTCAAAGCTTAATTTTGCAGGCACAATAACACACTTATCATGCATATATATCGTGAAGGATCGTGAAGACTTAAGCAATAAGGACTTGTTTAGTTCTCACTAAGAATGATCTAATTTACTCTGAAAGTCAATATAGCGCATAATATGAAATGAGAAAAAAACAAATATTGTTCACATGCATGTCAGCAAACCATTTGTACACAAAACAAGAAATTGAAACAGAAATGCGAAAATGATCAATAAATGTATACAAACTAAGTAGGTGCATTCCAGTATATACTCCATTTATCGATTTTTCAACAGGTTTTTCGGACTTAGTTTCCTCCAGTGCAACTTTTGCCGTTCCGTTTATTTACCAGAATTTCCATCTACGGCATGAGTACTGAACAACGCGTTATGCTTTCCCTTTAAATCCATAGATTATTCTTCAGACACTTGTTATATACTAAATTAGTATATAACGACTTAGGCCTATATACAAGTTTAACTGTAATACTAAAATCACAAACAAAAAATGACTTCTGGTTATAGGTCAAAAACTGACAATGGCTGATCTGCTGATAACGGTTCTAAATATATCTTTATTCTTAGTCCTGCATATGGAAGATAGGAATTAAGTTGATTGCTAGTTCGTCGAAGAAAACGTTTGAAATTTACATTAAATGGTATATCTATATAAATTGTATTTTATGTTCAGTATTATCCAAGTTATCGTTCTTTGTTGAAATAATTTCTATAAGAACCACCGATTTCTCGGGGGGGGGGGGGAATTAAAAAAAAAAAAAAATAATAATAATAATAAAAAAACAAAACAACTCCCCCCCCCCAAAAAAAAATGTCAATATAATCATAATTCCAAACTCAAATTCAATAAAATTAGGGGAAAAAATATGAGCATAAGACCGATATACACAAGGACTACAGAAAAAAGTAGAAGGAAAATTAGACCAAGTGTTCCAAAAGAGTAAGCATCTTCTGTGTTGACGAACCCCATTATTTAAATATTGCTCAATCCAATAAATGCCACGTCCTCAAATGAGAATAAGGTATGCAACAATAGAATCAACAGGCAAACCAACTAGCTATAAGTAAGCCCTGTGTTACAGATCTAGTTATTATTATAGTATCGATTTGATATTCTGCAAAGTCTGAATAACCATTAATAAACTTGGTTTTCAATACCCGTCATGAATATGGATGGATGCAAGGTTTGAAAATGTGGGCAAAATCTATCCGTAGTTTTTTCTTTATTTCATCAAAAAGTATAATACAAAAAAACTTACGTGGAGTTTTAAGTAGATACTATGACATGGTTTTCAATTAAGCATAATTGTCCTTGTCACCTTATAAAGGAATATTTCACAGATATTTAATAATGACATACTGGTTCATGATATTGTTTATAATATTTCATCATTTTGAAATACGTGTTTAGACATAGCCTAGCCCCACTTTAAAATATAAATTCAACTTTGCCTTTCCATGGTAAGATACTTGATCGTCTTTTAGTTCCTCTTCTGCTTTCCAAATATTTTTCAAGATTATCGGAATTGTTTCTGCCGCACTTTCGCATTGTAGTTGCCGCTAGGGAAAGGCACATGGCAACCACAAGACCAGCAGAAACACCATAGTAGGACACCATATAGGATCCTGTAACGTCTCGCATATATCCTGAAATATAACATGGGACTTTGTTAAACAAACATGAATTTGGTAATGATTATATTCGGTATTATTGAGTAATGGATGAATAATGTTTCAAAGGTCAAAGTTGGTGAAACACATGGATGAACGAAAGCGAAAGATAACACCAAGTAAGCGAGCAATTCATATTCGAGTCGAACCAGTATAATCGTATCTAGCATTAGAGACAAGAAGCTGTGTACCTGCTATCGGCCCCGCACACGTATTGCTGATTCCTACTGCAGTGATCAAAACTCCAAGTCCAGTCGAGTAATTTCTCATTCCTACAAGCTTCATGGTAGTTACGGACATGACAGTCACTGTTCCACCAAGCATAACTCCTAATGACCCTAACAAGACCACGTGTTGTTCATACGTGATTGCTCCTGGCAGCAAACCACACGCAACAGCACCAATACCCATATAAAAAACGGGTATCATTAGGACACTCATGTGAGGTATTCTTTTACAAAATCCAGGAACCAGTCTGAACACGGTACTTGTCAGATTCATGGTAAAGTACAGAAATACCGCAGTCGATAGATCAAAACCCTTACTTTGAAGGGCGCTAACAAGGAAAATCATAACGCAATTCACCGAAGGAATTGCAACAACCATCGCCATTGTAAACAACACATAAACCTTGTTCTTCGCCAGAGATTTTAGCTTGACACTGAACTTATCCTCTCTGGATGAATACAATGTACTAGTGGTTGATATTGTCGATACAACGGACAATCGGCTTTTGTTGTCAATTTTCTTCTGAAGACACGGAAACAAATTTCGCATAAAGGACTGCATACCGCTGACATTAGTCACCTGCGAAGAACACACACCGACCATGCGGGGTTTGCATACAGCAAAGCACGGAACCATATTCAGCATTACTCCTGATACTATCAGCAAACAACCTCTCCAACCGAATTCTCTCGTCAGGAAGTCAAGCAGGTATGGAAACAGCATGGATCCAAATCCAGATCCAAATGATATGAAGGACAAAGCTATCAGTTTCGATTTTCCGTCGAAATATTCTCCAACACTTGTAGATGCTGAAATGTAGCAAGCGGACAGCCCAACACCTATTCGTAAGAAATAGAATTGAGCATAGTATTCATGAACTGTGATTGTCATTCCTCTAATCTTCCTTTAGACTTAAGTGAAGTAGATGTATGTGTAAAGTGTGCTAGGTTGTTGTTAAGAAATATAGAAGTAAATTATTGCGTAGCTACGGTTGTAAATATCTGTTTTTAAACGTATATCAAATTGCAATAGGTTGCTCGAATGAAACTTACGGTGAAAGGTTTGTCATAAAATAACATCTTACATGGAATTTTTTATTTATACTTTTTAAAAATTCCAAAGTATGATATGACACAAAATCATATGCTTAGGTTATTTGTTGCAGCCGAAAGACTTCTAATTATTAGGTGTAAATTCCCTCCAGGTTTACACTCAACATTACCTGTAGTGAAGCCCAATGTCATTATGAGAAAAAGTAAGTTGGTCGAAAAAAATGCCAAACCAGTTCCAATAAAACTAAGAAATCCACCAAATATTCCGACCTTTCTTGCTCCGAATTGACTAACTGCTGTTCCCATTGGAAGACCTGAAACAGAAGGCGCAATTAAAACATGAAAATATGAGATACAAAATTACTTGAATAAATCATAACGATAGCAGCAAACATTTGTTTACAATGAAAATATTTTTTGCCTTTATTTTCAGTACATTGCGTCGCCGGGTAGCACAATGGCGACAAATTCACCTTTCATCTAGACGTCCGGGGTGTAATTCCCGAAACAGAGGCGATAAAGCATAAGGTCATCCATCCAACCCCTTGGGTTTCCCTATTGTGATTCAGCTGCCTCTCATAGATCTCTTGCTCGCTTTCATCAGGGCCAAAAAGAGTGATTTATAAAAGTCTAAAATTTGTTTCCAAATTGTTGAAAAGTAAATAAATTGTTTATTTTAAAACAATAAGAAAATAACAATATGACTGTAATCCAAATTCAAATTCAATAAAATTAAGGCAAATCATGAAAAAAAGAACGATTTACACCAAGACTCCCGAAACAAAGTAGAAGGAGTATAAGACCAGATTTTTCGGAATACACCTGCCATGTAAATCTTGGTCAATCCAAGAAAACAATGTCAAGTTATCGAATGAGATCAAGATATACAGGTAATCAACAACAGAACAAACAGGCAATAACTGAAGATCCAGTTTAGTATAGGTAGTAAATAGTCACTGATTCAATATTGAAGTCTATTATCTAGAAAAGGAAGTACTAATACACCTGAACACTACGGAGCCACATACAGTGAGGCTATCGCTATATATATGTACGTACTATACAGCCAGGGTACAAGAAATAATGAATTTGTAAGTAATAGAATATTGAACTTCGGTCAATGTAAGATGAATCAAATCTGTGTTTTAATGGTCAATAGCCACAATATTCATCTGGTCTTCCCATTTTCAAAAAAAAAAAAAAACATCTTCACCACTCGGTGCGGTTCGAGCCCAGAACCTGTCTACATTTTGGCTTTTTTCGGTTGCGTTAAGTAATCTCCCTCTTCTAAAATATGCGATGTCATTACAGCTATAAGAATATCCAACAGCCGTTACAGACTGGTATACACATACATGAAAGTTTTTATATGACACTCCAATACCCTATAGCATTATGGTACATGTTGTCCATGGGTACATATCTAATGAGACCTCCGCTTCAAGTTTTCTATATATGGTGACTGGCAGCCATACAAATTTCATTACGTACTGACACCCCTTTCACGCCATAGCTGGATGAACATCTTGAAACAGATGATAGTCAATTATCACCTAATTAGCGTCTGGATTAGACACGTGTTATTTTCTTTTTTTATTCCCACACCATAGCAAGATGAAGGAGTAGATGACGTACTACATCGGTGAATGGTCTCCATACTATAGAGACAACCATCGAGATGCAGTTGCCCTTGCCCGTCTTTGGATGGGCAATACATACCTAACACATTCATATATGTTGAAAGGCGAAGATAACCCTCGGTGCATAGGAATTCATGAGTCATTCACCGTTAAACATTGTTTTTTATTGGACAGCATTGACCTTCTGTCTACTCGAGAAACTTGTTATCGTAACATTGCAAGTCTAAAGACCCTTTTTAAAACTGTTGAGATATATAAAATGTTTTAGGTTTTCTGAATGATGTTGGTCTGTATTATAGACTATGACTGACAATTTTTTGTGATAATATAACCATTAAAAATTGTTAGTATTTGTCTTTTACCATTTAGTTTGTTTGATGTTATTTCCTTTTTGGATCGCTGTGTGAGTTTAGAGTTAGATGCAGGGCCAAACTATAAATGTTTTCAAAACACACTTTGTATTTATATATTTTAGTAAAACTGCGAGTTAAAATATTAACTTTTTAGTTTTATTTAAAAACATTCCTAAGCTTTCTCCTCCAAATATATTCCTTCCAATTACCACATTGTGAAGAAAAAAAAAGAAATGCATTCTTGTCCAATTTCTCTAGATGCTTTTGCAATTAAAACTGTACTACATGGTAGCATTGGTGATATCTCTTAATTATAGAATAACATTTGACAGATTTTGAACATTTGTTTCATGTTTGTAAAGTGATAGTTTAACGTCTGTATCCCTATGCACTTTAAATCTTTGTATATACATGGCCTTTTGACATACACTTTCATCTTTTGTGATAATATAACCATTTAAGATGTTTAGCGTTTGTCTTTTACCTTTTAATGTGTTTGATGTTATTTCCTTTTGGATCGCTGTGTGTTTTACCGGTTGATGGCCCTAAGGACTTTTTATTTGTTGACGGTCCGTTAGGAATATCATAATAATAATAATGATAATTTACACACACGTATTTCAATTCAATTAAAATTAAAAACAAAGAAAAACAAAAGAAAAACCAACATGTCAACACAATCATAATTCAAACTGAACTTAAGAACGATTTACATAGCGCCTCCTCAAAAAAATTTAGGGCGAAAAAGACCAGATGTTCCGGAAGAGTAAGCGTCTTCTGCTTCATCTATAACACCCACCTTGTAAATCTTGCGCAATCTAAGTAAGTAATATCAGGTTCCCAGGCCAGAATACGGTATATAACAAGGGAACCAAATGGTTAATTAACGAAACGCGCCCTGCTTCATATCTCACAAAGAAATAGAATTACTCAATGACATCAATATGACGATTTCAAAATTCAATCATAATTTCTGATCAACACATTCATGAATAACAATGGAATTTAATTTGTAACTGACACAAACTTAAAACTTTGGCAGCAATTTATCATGTTAACAATCATATAATATAAAATCCATACTGCTTATCACCATCTCCTGTGACGGTGATGCTAAAGGGACAGGACGAGACATCAACAACATGCAGATGTATTCCAAACCATGTTCACAATACAACATGAAGCAATACTATTTTGAATTATGAATTGCGTTTTGATTATTATATCTCGTTAAGTAGTAACTTTCGATGTGTCCTATTTTATTATCTAATCCATCATTTACGACTTCGAAACGTATATAAAAATCAAGAAAATACCATCATGGCAATAATAACTCATAAACCCAAATTCTATAAAACTGGGGCAAAATAGGAACAAAAGAAAGATCTACACGGATACTCCGTACAAGGATAGTACAAGGATAATAAGACCAGGTGTTCCGGAAGCGTAAGTGTCTTCTGCTTCATCGACGACACTCGCACCCGAATCTTTTGAACCCTCGAGTTTATAAGTCAGTTGGTGACTTCTCTCACTCTAAAACACGTGCCAATTTATGTACGAATATGGAGAGAAGACTGTATGGAATATGAAACAATGTAACTGAAACAACATTCCCCCTAAGTATATGCATTCTGGTGGATATAAAACAAGCTTTTACTTAATATATATCAAATATAAAGAATATTTCAAAACAACATCAAATTTTCCGACCACAAACTGTGTCTCAAAAGAAAAAAAAACATTTTTCAACTTTTCAGTATTCCGACATGTATCAATGAAATTATAATATTCAAATATTGCTTAATACATTTATTGTTTTATCTCTTGAATTACCTACATGTTCCTTTGAAACTGTATTAGATATCATTTGACGTACTCTAAATACTGCATATGTGAGAAACTTTTCAATTTACCTGAAATGAAGAACATTCCAGTTGCGACAGATTGAACAAATGAGGTTTCCGCTTTACTTCTGCCAAACTGCTCCAGAAATGCTAGGTTCAAAACGGACATATTGAAGGGGAATCCAGTACATATGAATAATTCCAGGAACCCAGCAGACAAAACAACCCACTTTCTGTATGATGCCGTTTCGGATCCTTCTTGCGATTCCTTTGACTGATAAAAACTGGAACATTTATGAATAATTTATAGACATCGATACATAAGCTTCCAAGAATTGGTAGGGGGTATAACGGAGCTATGGTTCTTTTATAAGGAGCAATGTCTGTTTAACTTCCGTGTCAAAAAGGAACTTTGTTGATTTCACTAAAAATACCAACAGCAATTACACACATTACACACGCATGGTCATTTTTAAACAGTAATTTGAATAATTTGTCAATAGAACTGTTCATGTCACGTTAATAAAGGGACAGATGCAGGATGACATCAACCAGGTTTTTACTATATGTAGCAACAATCACATTATACCTATTTACAGAGACTAAATTCTGGTTTATCCAATTCACATTTTAAAACTTCAGATTTTTGAAATATACTTTATTTAACCTTAAACTTTGATAAACCATGTTATCGATGATGTTAAGTATCCTTACCAGTTCCTAACATCTGGTTTTATTCTCCGCGTATTTTTTTAAAGTTGGTCGTGTCTAGCTTTCATTTGTTCATGTTTCACCCTCGTGTTATGAATGTTGAGAGCTTGACGCACGACTTCATTACCTTGTAAACCAAGTAAGAATATACCCCCTTGACGCATACTTTGGTTTAATTGATCCATTATTGAACAAAATATTGGTTCTACATTGTTAATATGATTACATTGTACCTGATTTAAATATTTTAATGAAGCAGAACATTTTCCGTTATTCAAATTCAGAAACGCGTGACAGAATTTGGCAGGCGGAAACGTATCCGTTTAGTACGTTTATATAAATTATCCGTTTTTGCATAGTGTATATTTAAGGCTTCTGTGGCAAGCCAAACATTCAAACTTTATTTTTTAAAATATCTTTATGATGAAGTGCAAAAAACAAAACAATGTGCCTAATAAAATCTATATATGACTTAGATTCAGAAAAAATAGCATCTAACCTTTTCAGATACGCTTGGTCACATTGGACATTCGCTTAAAATTACCTCTCCGATATCGACGTTGCTTCACTGATCTTGCGGTATATTCCAACAGGAAAAACATTTGCGTCATTGACATTCTGTGATAATCCACCAAAGTTCTGTTCTCTGTTGATTTTATTTGAATTAAGATCTTCTACAACACGATCCTCAATGACATTAATGGAAGTAACCTCTCTTCGTGATGTTGATGTCTGTCTTTGAATATCGTTGTCCTGCGACGGCAACTCCAACTCATTGTTAGAAACAGGAAGTCTATTTCCAGAGGAAATATTTCCGTTTTGCCTCTGTTGCATATTTGAATTAAGATTAATATTTCATACTATTGAGTTGTAATACCAACTTAACCCTTTGAGTTACCATTTCAAATATTGGTATGTAATATTTATCTGTCCAGTAAAATCTAACCACACAAACTAATTTCCAGAATCTACAATTTTCGCTTTATCCCACCTGACCGTTCATATCTTAATGTGCTTCTACAAGATGCTTGCTCACGATCGAACGTATTAATATGTAAATATATGACTAAGGCATTGTTAAGCGGTCTCTAATATGTTAATTAGAAGTTATGAAAAATAGATGGACTTCATACTGTATTAATTCTCAAACAAGCTACATTCGAAATAAAACTTGGTAATTTCAAATGGTGCAGTGTACCGGATTTATTGTATTTAGTTTATATGTTTAGCGTACCGTTCATAATTTGCAGGGAAATGTTCATACTAATGTATTGGATGAATGTTTTTCAATATCAGTACTTTGAAATGCTATTTTTATCTTTAGTTTTCAGATAAATTGAAATGTGGAAACTACCGAACTAATGATCAGTCTTCTGTATGAATATAAGGCCTTTTCGACATATCCAAAATATTAAGAAAAAAAATATGACAATTGATTGCGAGAAAATTTAATGAGAGTTCACAGTAAAATCAGGATTGTTCACAGTTGAAAGGCAAATGGGTCAAACTTGGGATGCGTTTCAATTGTCACTTACTAAACTGATGGTAAAACAAATACGGCGGAGTTTCGTTTACACGAAGTGCTATCACAGAATAGTTCTAACTATATGGGAAACACATTTTAACACAACGTTTATATCGGCAACAGAGCTGGACAAGGTACAGGAATTAAACAATCGTATATAATCAACGTATCATCAATGTATCTGAACAATACAAAAACTCACTAAACTTATACAACATATATATGGATATCGTAAAGCTTGTGAATTTCTCGATTTTCTTTCAAAACCACCGAATACTGTTTCAACTCGATAACACTTTGTGACCAGGCCCCATGATCTCGAAACTTCTTAAATTTTGGATTCTCAACTCCAAATTCTCAACTTGAGTACGTACTTAGTTGATAATTTCTCAAAATGATGTTTCTCAAACGTGTTCTCAAATATTTGAACTTGTATTGTTGTTGAATTAATGGAGTGTTGTATGACGTCATCATAAATCGTCTGGTAGGATAGGCAGAATCACCAAGTAGTGATCCGCTGTACTGACCTGAATGGTTTCTTTCAAAGAAAAAAATTTTAATATAAAAGTGGTATTCCCTTTCAACAACAAACACGAATTTGTATGTAAAGATTTAGATCTAAAAATGTGATATGAAACATCAAGATTTACAAATTGACCATTTTTTCCTTATATCAGTCGACTGTTTTGTTGTTATTCTAGTTTTAAAGTATATGGTTTTAAATGTGATGTTATTTGTTTAAACATTATGAAGTTATGTTGTCACAACTGATTATCTACATATTAATATGGCAAACATTTTGGGTCACTTATTTACTTTGAAATGTGCCTTAACTACCTGTGTTATATTTTACGTGATGCAATCTATTGGTTCTCTCTCCAACACCTCATTCTGTTTTGTGTGCATGGAAAAATCATGGAAGTGAGGCTATGGTGTTTGTTGTTTTTTAGGCAGATGGCAATGGTCATCTGAACACAACTACATAGACGCTAGCATCATAACACAGAATACACTCACCTTAAAGCCCAGCTCGAAGGGGCTGATTGTATTACAAACAAAAATTCATGTATAAAATGTATACATTTATTTGTCCTTCATTAATGCTCATTTCTTTATGTCAGTTCCAAACTTGATTTTGTCGACGCCTTCGTTTCGGCGCTTTGTATAACTTTTATTTTACCACAATGAACAGTACCATGATTCTTTGTGACTCAAGCAAGTTTGTTGGTTGAAGTAGTTATGCGAGGAAATTGTTGTTATTCAGGAGATCGTTGTTATTTAATACTGATATATCGATAGTAAATCTTGTTACTTTTAAGTACCACATAACAAAATACAGCAGTGTTCCATTTGTCTTTAGACTGACACTGTTACTTTTTTATAAACAAATCTTATTGTTTAAGCAACAAATTAAATGCCTCGTTAATATAATTGCTTGATATTGAAAATAATTTTTCAAATGAAACGTTTGTCTTGGAGCGTCAGTTTTGTTGAATGCACATGTCAATGATAGTATATTCATATTTTTTTCCTCCTCGATCTACACATGACATGCCATCACCGTAACAGGAGTGAGCCTCCACCTCTAGGTAGAAGCCGGAGAGAAAAAAGTAGCGCCACACAACTCCAGAGAACAGGCTTCATGTGGAATAAATAAGACATTGAATAAGATTACATGCTCAAACATTATAGGCTCTACTTTTAGTGGCACAGATTATAGACTCCACCTGTCGAGGCACAAATTATAAGGCTCTACCTTATAGGCCCTACCTTTAGTGGCACAAATTATAGACTCCACCTGTCGAAGCACAAATTATAACCTCTACCTTATAGGCTCTACTTTTAGTGGCACAGATTATAGGCTCCACCTGTCGAGGCACAAATTAAAACCTCTACCTTATAGGCTCTAACTTTAGTGGCACAGATTATAGGCTCCACCTGCCGAGGCACAAATTATAGGCCTTACCTTTAGTGGCACAGATTATAGACTTCACCTGTCGAGGCACAAATTATAGACTCTACCTTTAGTGGCACAGATTATGGACTCCACCTGTCGAGGCACAAATTATAGGCTCTACTTTTAGTGGCACAGATTATGGACTCCACCTGTCGAGGCACAAATTATAGGCTCTACTTTTAGTGGCACAGATTATAGGCTCCACCTGTCGAGGCACAAATTATAGGCTCTACCTTTAGTGGCACAGATTATAGGCTCTACTTTCAGAGGTACAAATTAAATAATCATAGACTCCATGTGACGTGGTACAAATTATAAGCCCCGTCTTTAGAGGCACAAAATAAGTCGCGTCTTTGATATTGACCAGTATTCGACTTTACTTATACTTTACAATGTGTAACGTTACAGCTGTTTTTAGAATTTTATGTTCTACGTTTAATTACATATTAGACTGAGATAAAAACGACGCTACTGCTGTAACCTTAGTGACGCCACTTCAGGATTGCTAACATTACTGCTTCGTTATCATGAAACTATCAAAATGTTTAATGAAAAGAAGAATTGACAGCGGCTAGATTATATTGTGAGTCGTCAAAACTCTTTCATGTAATCAATTTTAAGCAAATTTGGGCATCGATTACTCACTTTCATATTTGTGCTTTCTTAGCAGACGACACCAATCATGTGCTGAATCATCTGCATGTTTGTGGATGTTCAACCGGTGCTAAACGTTTTATTGAGGCTGACTTCAGTGGCGATTATAGTTCGTTTCGGAAAAGAAAATAATTGTCTACGACAGGTCTATAAATACGTGTAAATGTAGTAAGCGGGACTTATTTCTAGTAACAGATCGGTGCTGGAATCATGTTTCATTAGATCATATCAAACCTTCTTCAGAATGAACTGATTTTGCCGGTTTTACGTTTGTGTCTTCTGATCCAAAATCTTATTGGAGACTTATTAAAAGGTTAATGAATTCAACTGGAACTTGACAATCTATTCCTTTCTCTTGTAGATCCTCATACTAATAATGATGTTACTAATGATGAAGACTTATTAAATGAATATTTTTGTAATATTAAACAAGGCGATGATAGAAACACAGCAGTTCCTGTAGTTGAGTCTAAAACCAACAAAACGTTAAGTTCTGTAAGAGTAGATAGAAATGAAATCCGTGATGTTTTACAGATATTGAAGCTTGGAAAGGCCTCGGGTGATAATGGGATCAGTCATCATATGTTCAGAAATACATCACAAACTGTTTGTATTCCACTTGAAATTATTTTTAACATGTCTTTTATCGTCAGGTATATTTCCAGCCAATTGGAAAGTAGCAAAAGTTATGCCACTGTTTTAAAAAAGTGACAGGCATTCTCCCTCTAACTATAGACCGATTTCTCTTTTATCTACTGTTGGAAAAGTCTTTGAGCGAGTTATTTTCAAACATCAACATAATTATTTCGTAGAAAATTAATTGTTTTATAAACACCAGTCTGGCTTTGTGCATGCACATTCTACTGTACATCAGCTCATTGAAATTTATCACAATATTTGTATTGCTATTGAAGAGAAAAAAACATGTATGTATAGTTTTTCTGTGATATTTCTAAAGCATCCGATCGTGTTTGGCATAAAGGTTTGATGGTAAAATTAAAATCTTACGGACTTTGTGGTGAGCTATTTACGTGGGAAGACAACTATGTATTTAATAGGCAGCAGGAGGTTTTCCTGAATAGTGTTTATTCTCAATTAGGTTCAAACTCAGTAGGGGTTCCTCAAGGTTCCATTCTTGGACCACTTTTGTTTCTTATATACATAAATTATATTGCCGATGTGCTTGAATCATCTGCTCGTCTTTTTGCAGACGACACTTCTTTATTAAAGTCTTCCTCATCATGTCTTGAAATCCAAACTGTCTTAAATAGGGATCTTGATTCTTTAAAATTTTGGGCTAAAACTTGGTTGGTTACTTTCAATCCAGACAAAACTGAGGTAATATTTATTTCTAATTCGATTGACATAGATGATGCTTTAGACTTGGAGTTAGATGGGAAAGATTTGAATTTTACTGATCATCATAGACATTTGAGGGTATATTTTAATTATAGCGCAAAACGGGGGGATCATATCAATGCTACATATATATCTGTTAGGAAGAAAATCAATGTCTTAAGAAGGTTGAAATATTTGTTAAATAGAAATAGTCTCTTAAAATTTACAAAGCTTTTATTTTACCAATTTTAGAGTATGCGTGTGAATTGTGGGACGGTTGCACTAATACTGAATCAGATAAATTAGAGAAAGCCCAAAGAGAAGCTACTCGTATTATAACTGGCCTTCCCTCTTATGCAC